TATACAGACAAGTGAACACAATTCAGTCATTCCATGCTCTGCCTCCGCAACAACAGTGAAATGCCAGTGCCGATAGCTGTGCTGATATTTATGATTCCTACTTAATATGTTTTAAATGAGTTGATGAGCTCTTAAGTATTAACACTAACATCAGTAAGTACCCTGAGCCAGATTCTCTGGGAGGGAAGCCTTGCCATGCCATAGACTGTGGTGCAGTTTAGCTTTTATCCCATCTGAAGATCTGGCTCGGTAATTGTGCAGAATGTAAAAGAGAAACCCATAAGTGCTGTAAACAAAGGAAAACTGTTACTCTGGGAGTGTGTTAGATATTTCAACACTCATAATTAACATCCCTTTCCTAAACTGTGGCACAAACTACTTGCAGAATGGGTTTTTTCTTTTATTGCTGCTAGTTTCAGTGACTAAATTTATTAAGTCATTAGGTTTGCTTGTGGATGTGTGTATTTGCTGTTCTCCTTTGGGTTATAATAAAAGGAGATATTGGGAAAAAAAATCTTTATTTATCTGGCAATTTCAGGAATGTTTGTAGGGAAATGGTGAGCGATATGAACAAAGCTGCCCAGTCTGGGAGAACACTGAGTGAGCAGCTGGGTTTGAATACAACAGCAGCCTGTGAGAGTTGCCTGCTGGCTTTCCCTGAGCATTGCACATGGAAACCTGTCACCATTTCTGCCATGATCTGGGGACACCAGGGGCTTCTGGGGAGCAGACTGCTGGCTCTTCTAACCCAGAAATAACTTCTGGGACATCCGTGGTATGCTATACCCTCCCTGAGTAGGTCTGACACACCTCATCCCCCCCAGTGGCAGATGCATCCATTTTGCTCCTTTTGGTTCCAAGTGTTGTTGAATGTGATCTTCCTTATTTTTTTTATTTTTTTTTCTGTGTGATAGCTACTGTGTTGGTTTTGGTTTTATTTACACTGTGAAATTTCTAGTAAAACTACAGTTATCACAAACCAGACCTATTTTTTGTTTTTTCAAAGCAAATCTAATTACTCTTCTTAATAGAATTGCCTTAGTTCACGGGACTGGATTAAGATGCAAAAAACAAGTTGCAAGCAGATCATTTTGCATGTAAATTACTAATGTTTCTTTTGCAAATATTTCATACGGGTTTTTAGTTAAACAATTAAAAAATGAACTGCTTTTCCAAGCCACTTTCAGTAATATCTGTAGACACTTAACAAAATACCTCAGGCTCTAAACCTCCAAATGGTAAACAAATAAATGTATTTATTTACTTTGTATGCAAAAATAATTCAGTCAAAGACATAGTTCACATTGAGTTAAATTGAGAGAATCTTTTTTTTCTACAGATCACAAGCATAATCTTTAATGAGAAGAACTGATGGGCTGTCTGAATGAGCTGAGTTCATGACAGTCCTGACAAGGGACCTCTGTGGACTTTGTGCAGAAAATAGAGTCACTGTTTATTTCTTTATTTAAAGACTGAAAAAAGACTGGTGGTTAAAAGATAGAAGCCATCTGTCCTCTCACTGTCTTGTACATGGTCATGCTATTTCAATCAAGGAGAGAGTTGGAAAAATAATTGAGTGGGACTTGTTATAACCTTGTTTCCAAAGGTCCCTGCAGCAAGTGGGGAAGCGAAGGGGTGCTCATGAACCCAGGGCTTTACCATAGTATTACCTCTGGGACAGGATGTCCTTATGTCCTGTCAGAAGCACGTGGGGGGCACAGCCTGAGGATCCCTTTGCTGTGTTTACAGTCTTTATCTGAGATGAAGAGAAAGTATTGGACTGCCAGTGTGCCAATCTAGTACATTTCATCAACAGTGAATTTACCTTATAAACAAAACCAGACAAATAAAACAACCCTAAATCGTGCATGCCCCAAAGGTCTGGCCAGTAGATTAGCGATTTTTTAAAAATACCTTCTGTTATCTCAGATTTGTGTCTGTGCAGCAGTGCCTCTACAAACTGCTTTGTTATTGTGAAGCCTGTTCTGCTCACCTGCACTTCTGTCTTTTTTTCCGAGCTCATCTCAGCCTAAGACAACCAGAACAGCAGTTCCCACCTGATTCAGCATAATTGCACAATTAATTTTGACAGTGAAGCTTGTGGAGAGGTTCTGCCGTTAATATCCCAATAGCCTTTTGTTATAGGTAGCCTCAAAGCTGACAGCAAAAGGCTTGTGATGAAACTAAATGATGCAGTGTAATTGAAGGCTGGCCGTGGGGCACCAAGAAGACACCAGTCAAGAAAAACATAAGGGTTTGCATGTTAATGAGATTTAGAGGACACTCTAAAAATCCTCAGGCAGTGCTTGGGAGAGTGGCCTGTGTCCTGCTCCTCTGCCATGTCTCCTCTCTGGTCATATGGTTCTTTCTTCATCCTCTTGCTCTTTGTGTCAAGTCCACAGAGATTTCTGCTGCTCAGACCAGTGAGGAGCCTGGGACATGTCAGTTTGGTGGCAGGATGAGCAGTGTCCCATGGGTGTCTGTCTCCACATGGCACAGTTGTTGCTGGTGAGATGATGTACGTAAGAAGAAGGGTAATAGTGGATAAACCCAGTATTGTTTAACTAGAACTTAGCTGTCAAATCTGTGGGTTTTCTAAGCTGCTGAATGGACAGAGCTGGGGTGTTCCATAGTAGTGTTGCCATGGTTCATATCCTGATGTGCTTTTTCAACTGAATTACAGGAGATGAGGAATCAACCAGCCAACTCACCAAAGGAATGGGATGCTTTTGTTTGCTTGTGGGGGAACATAAACATTTAAAGGAAATCAATAGGTTTTTCTTTATTTTTTCAAAATCTTCATTACTTTGATGTCTTTACATGCATTTGCTTTGCAATAATGTAAGAATTTTGTTGGTTTATTGGTACAAGTGGGTATACAATACTGCATCTGCTTTTATGAACTACTGCTGCTTGTCATAAAATATTATACTGCAGTAATTTTAAAACAAATATTGGGCTGAAAACTTAATTTGCAATAACTTTTAATTAAAATCTCTCCCTTTTTTTCTTTGTGAAACTACATTTTCAAAATGCATTAGCTTTTATATTTCTTTTTCATTGAAAATAGTCTTAGTTCCATGTTTAGGTCAAGTTGGGAGCTATATTTCACAGCCTGCCAACCTTTTAGTCCCCCTAAAGGAAATTTTTGTGGTAAGTTTTTACTGATGGAGTAATGAAGGCGTGGGGAAGGGGATTGAGTTGTCCAGTTTGGTTTGAGAGCTGCTGCCTGGCTGGGCTTGGTGCCAGGGAGTGCCCCTGAGCCAGCAGTCCTGAGGCAGCTCCTGCAAACCCAGCTCCCAGGTGAGCTGTGTGCCCTCCCAGGCAAGACAAAGCCTGGAGATAAAGGGCAGATTTAAGGAACACTTAAACACTGTTCTTTTGGGAAGCTACTTCAAACACCATTTTATAGTGCTCTAAGTCATCTAGATCTCTCTTAACTTGTTTCACTCTCTTTTAAAAATATTTATTTCTCCAGCAAGAAGGAATCCCTTAGATAAGGCAAAATGGCCCATTTTGCTGATGGTGTTTTTACCTGTGTGGTGCTAATGATTGATGCAAAATGCACGTGTGCAGCACAGCTCTGTGCTTTCTGCTGTGCTTTATCTTCTGTAGCTTTAAGGCTGCCATTCTCTGCGGGTCTGTTGCACATTGGATTTATTGTCACACCAGCAACACTTCATATAACCCCAGATCGCTTGGGAACACGTTCCTGAGTGCTGAATGTTCAGAAGGTTTGCTCTTAAACAAGGTCTGCAGAAATAACGTGGCATTACTCCAGATGCTGTGCTCAGATGTTGGTCATGGGTTTTCCATTGGCAAGGTTGGAGAAGCTCCCAAAGACTTGGAAGTGGTGAAGATTTGGGAGGGAGCATCACTTGCCTGTAGAAGCATCTGCCTTCATTCACAGGCCTCAGAAATGCCTTGTCTGGGACCTGTAAGAAGGGATTTATTTTGCTGAAACAGTTTTGCTTCAGAAAATGAATTTTCATTGTGGCTTGAACTTTTTTTTTGCAAGGGTAGTTTTTAGAAAATTAATGGGAGAAGTTCTTTGGCCAGGATAAATTTTCTGCTCAATATCAAAGTCTGGGAGCATAACCCAACCCACTAACAAGCACATATGACTCACTGAAGGTTTGGGAGCCCACTGTCACAGAATCCTCTGGCCAGCCAGATCTTTTAAGAGGTTTAATGTTTCTCTGTTGTGAAAATCTTGAATACTGGGACATAACAAGTACTAGTCCTTAGCTGAGTGTGGTTTCGTCCTGAAGATTTCATGCAAAGCCAGCACAAGTGGCAAAGGCACAGCCACTCCCACAGCCATCACAGGCTCAGGGGATGTCCTGGACAGATCCATCTGTGCTCTGCTCTGGGGCAGGTGTGGAAATGTGTCTTGGTACCTGCAGAAATACTTACGGCAGAAATCTTTAAAATTACTTCTTTCTCTTTATTGAAAGATTTCCAGGCTTTGTGCCAGCATTTCCTCACACCGCTTTTGAAATTAAATGGCTTACTTGTTTTTATACTCTCATTTCTTTGAATCCTCTTAAATGGTTCAATAATGCCCTTTGCCTCTAAGAATTTGAACAACCCTCAATATCTTAGACAACAAGCATTTTACATTTGCCCATCCCAGGGAAGGTATGTGCAAAGCCAGGGGAAGGCATCAGGAGCAGCAAAGCTCTCTCTGCTTCTCAGCTCTCTTCTTTCTTTTGTTTAGTATTTCAGTCTAAATTCTGACAAATTTCTGACTTTTCCTGCACATTTTTCATGCCTGTTCACTGTAGGCTGTTTTGCAATCCACAGCTCTACCAGGGAAGAAGAGCCTTGCCTTTCAGCCCAGAGTTAGATGGGTGTTATTGCTGGGAGCCCGCACTGCTGATACCTCTTGTTTTCTGTTGTCAACTGTAATGTGTGTATAACTCAGTGATGCCTAATTTAAAAGATCAGTGATTAATTCTTCCATTGCTTTTTCTTCTTTTCTCTTTCTCTTACTGCAGGATGTTTTCACACCAGAGTGCAAATTTAAAGAATCTGTCTTTGAAAACTACTATGTTATTTATTCTTCCACGCTGTACCGGCAGCAAGAATCCGGACGAGCGTGGTTCCTGGGACTCAATAAAGAAGGTCAAATTATGAAGGGAAACCGAGTGAAAAAAACCAAACCCTCATCACATTTTGTACCCAAACCCATTGAAGGTATGGAATCTGCCCACTTTTCTCCCTCGGTGGGGTTTGGGTAGGGGGAGTTAACAGCTTCAGATTTGGCGTTTCCTGTCTGGGAGTGTTGGGCTTCAAGACCAGAAAGCAAGGGAAGAAGTGTTTGTAGCACTTCATCTAAGTGCTGGGCTGAACTGTTAGCATTTCCTCTGCTTTCCTTCTAGTCTCAAAGGGGTTTCCTGGCTTTGGGGCGCTAAAGGATGAATTTGAAAGCCCAGCAGCACAAGAAATCACTGGCAAAAAAAAGCAGACAGTAGTTCCAAAGGAATGTGATGCAGCAGTGATCATAATGTTGTCTTCTCAGGATTTTGCCAGTGTATTTCATTAGGTTTCCAGTCCCATATAGAGTCAGTAGAGGCAGGATTTATCTCACCTGAGTTTAGACTTTGGCACTCTGTTCATAGTAACAGAAGAAAAATGGGTCCTACCAGCACAGCTGTGGATGTTCTTTATATGCCTAACCTGAGATAACTTAAATCTGGTTTTCCTCATGTGTAAAGGCATCCTAGTTAGTCACTGGGGGGTAGAGTTGTTGTCCAGAGTTCGATGGGATGCTGTCATGCCGTCTGTCTTCATCACAGTGAGAGGCTTCAGTGAAAGTCACGGAGTTGAATTTCTGCCCTCCTGCTGATGCCTGTACACTCTCTGAAGTGTGCCTCAGGCTCCTGCTAGGACATTTTGCATTTTGTGAGCTGGCCCCTGATAAATGGAGAGATAGTGTGATAAGCCTAGTTCTTAACAGGTAGTAACTTGATTCTGGAAACAACACTAATCTCTTGCTTGGGAAAAGCACTCCTTTTTGATCCCTAAACTAGGCATGCCTTTCTGACCCCATCTCAATCCTGCCATTTGTCCCCTTCAGGGACACAGTAGCCTGGAGCTGGCCTTGGTTGCACAGCTCTGTGCTCCCTCTCACTACCCCATATTGGAGAAGGTTTGAACTGATGCTCTCCTAGCAGGTACCACTCACAAGTGGTGCAGGCCACAGCTCACTCCACACAGCAGTGACCTTTTTAAGAGCTTCCCAGCTCCGGGGTGGGCAGTTGTGAGTGTGAGGAAAAGGCCATCTGAAGCAAAGCATGAGAGAAATTCAGTGCAGCATTCCCAGAGTATCTGTGGCCTTTGCACAGCGAATGGAAATGTTGAAAGAGCAGAGAATGGCCTGGAGCTGCTTGTCCTGTGCTTGTTTTCAACAGCTTCTCTGCAGCCAGGAACCTTTTGTTGTTTATCTGAGGCATTAGTGGGATTGGTACCCTAAGCCCCTAAGCCCTGGTGTTTTGCTAAGGAACAGGCACTGCTTCAGGCATAGGGTTGGTCACCAGCTTCTCTCTTGCCTTGACCACGAGGAGAGTCTTTTACAAGCACCAACTTTCACAGCTGGGTTTCCACCTCCTTTTGGTATTTCTTTGCTGCCTGGCTGGACATTAACACTCACCAGTGGGATCCTTTGAATCCAGGCTTCTTTTTAAATCTAGCATTCGTGGTGTCTGCTGAACGACTCAATAGTTCCCTTCTGCATGCATTAAACTAGGCCATTCCTGTGGCTCTTCTCGTGGAAAGCCTTGCCTTAACAGAGCTGCCTGACCCACAGCAGAGATCTCATTTCAGCAAATGCCACTCTGGCTTTCATTTTGAATAACCCAGCCCAGCCCTAGAGCTTCCCTTTCCTGCAGTTGCATCCTCCCACACTTGCTTCAATCACAGCTGTCACATAACCTCCCGAGCGAGTGAGCGCTTTGGAAGTTGGCAGCCAAATTAAGGGCTCCTCCACTTCTTCCCTCCTCCACATGCTTTGCAGTCAGGCTTTGTGAGCGCTGCTGCATCAAAGAGCTGGCAGTCTCCCAAGCCAAGGCACGTGTCAGCTTCCCCGAGCATTCAGCTGTCTGGGACTGTGACTCCAGACGGAGGACTCTGTTCCCAAGCCCAAGATTCATTGTAGGTAGCAGAGGCTTGCGGGGAGGGTTGGAGTAAAACGCGCTCATCTCCACGTGACTTCTCTGCACCGCATCCGTCACAGTCCCCGTGAGCAGAGCTCGCAAGCAGAGATGTTACAGAAAAGGGGCAATTCCTACCCTGTTTTAACAGTTTCTTTCTCTTTGTTATGACTCCAAGGAAATACTCAAAGCACTCTCTTGCTGTATTTGCATGTTGGTTCTGCAGAATGCTGTGGCTTGCCCCAGTGTGTGGGCTGTGCTGCTTATTCTGGACACAGCTTCCATCCACAGTCACACCCCCAGGTTTCCTGTTGCTGGGTACCACCACCAGCATTAGCCCTGCCACGTGATGGCTGGCACAGGAATGTGTGTGCAAGGAGGAATCTGCTCCCCCTGGGAAGGAGAGGTGCCACATCCATTGCTAGGAATCACTTCACCTGCTAGACAATGGCAGTTATCTCTGAGATGAAACTTCCCAGTTGTTTCTGATGTACAGAAAAATTATGCAGCATTTTAGTGAAGAGAGTGTTCACAGGGAAGGGAAACAGAAAAAAGCCCAGATTGCTCCCCAAGCTCATTTGATTCCTGTTGCTTACTTCTGCTCTCTGAATTCACAAGTCTCCTTGAAATAGCAAATGGACAGCAAGTTAATACATAAATAAGAAATACCTTCACAGGTAATTTCTAAGTACTCACAGGAGCACATATGCATATATACACAGTGGTATTTGTGTATGGATGTGTATCTATGGCTTTTATCAGCTATGGCTTTCTGCTGTGCTAAACACTCAAGAGTGTTATGACTCACGTAGATTGGCAGGATCCTGGAGGTATTTTGTACAAAATTCAGTAGATACCAACTGGAAAAGTTTTGGGTTTTGGTCGGTAGGAGGTGTTTTTAGTTTAGTGTAGGTAGGATTTGTTTGTTTTTGGAAATAAGATTAAGCTTGATCAATATGAAAGCACAAAAAACTTAGCAAGTAATAACAGGGGAGACGTTGAGTTCCTCTCCCATCTGTGCACAAGCGAAGCCAAGGCAAACAGCCTGGTCGGCAGCAGTTGATGTACTGTGTGCTGCTAGTTTTGCTTCAAAACACACATACGCAACACATTTCTTTTGATATTTTTATTTCTGATTACTGATTATTCGAACTAAGTGAGCCCTAAAGGGAAGACATCAAGATTGAACTAAGACTGCACAAGAAATGAGCTTGAGTATAATTGTCACTTAGACAACAAGCAATCTTTTAGAGAAATTTCGTCTCTTAGTGTCTGTAATGATTAGTGCTGGAACAACCCTACCATCTACAGTGCCTTTTGTTCTTCAAAATATCCAAATCCATCTCAGTGTGAGACGTTTCCAGTCATTTAAATAGGAATATTATCAGATGCTTACTGTGGATATGCTCTGTTATTTGTATTCCTTCTCCTTGAAGACATAATTTTCAAATGTTACTCTCCCAAAGAGTTACATTTCCTCTCTCTCCTGACCCAAACAAGAAGACGTTTAGGGTGGCAAATCTGGCCACAGAAGCAGAAAATTTCTTCCAAGTCAGCAGAGCAGTCTCTAACTCTTGAATTTATGGTGCTTCAGCCCTCATGATGTGAACATGTCTCAGATACAAAGGTGACCTGTTAATGGCTAGTCTGGATTCATTTATTACCACTGATGAGTATCCAAGCAGCCAGATCTTTCCCAGTGTCATTCCTCAGGGAAATAACATCCAAGTTTTGTTAAGACAGAGTCCTCAGATGTTGTAAAGTACAAGACACTGTTAACTAGGAAAATGCAGTAGGCCTTGTGAAAATGCTTCAAAGGTATCACCTTAATACATAAAGCATCGAGTCATAGGAAGTCTTGGGTTGGAAAGGACCTTAAACAGCATCTCCTCAGATCAGGCTGTTCAGGACTTCATCCAGCCTTGTCCTGGACACTCCAGGGATGGAGCATCTACAGCTTCTTTGGGTAACCTGTGCCAGTGCCTCACTGCCCTCACAGAAAAGAATTTCTTCCTAATGTCTAACCTAAATCTCTCCTTTTTCAGTTTAAAAATGTTCTCCCTTGTCCTATTACTACCCACCCATGTAAAATGTCAATTTTCCAACATCTTAAAAAGTATTCTTAGAAAATCAAACCTCCAAATCTCCACACTCTGTAGATCTTTGCTAACACAGCTCCTCTCTTGGGTCTCTCTTCCAGGTAGGCAGGCTTTGGTAGGTTTTCTGTCCCACACTAACTCACTTGTTCATCTATCAGACTCTTGATCATCTTATTAGATGGCAAACGTGATGCATTTTAACCATGATTTTGCTTGGCTTTTTGCCTCCTGTGCTGCCTTTCTCATCTGAACACTGTGATTCTACCTGGCAGCATCCTTCACATTTTACCACCAGATAGACACGAGCTCACATGCCTCTGAAATGCATCTGCTGGGATTTAGAACACGGTAATTAGAGGCAGAAAACGAGGGTGCCTAATCACTCACTCCCTGGTGCCCCTGAGTGCTGCTGCTCAGGCAATTAACTCCCTGCACTGAAGCATTGGCAAATACAGGCACTCGAGCTGATAGCGACACCCAGAGCTGTGGTATCTCTGAGCTGCTACCAGAGGATGTGCTTCCAGCCCTGCCCAGATCCAGCCAGGCACATCAGGCATACGGTGATCCTGCAGGGCTGCCCACCTGCTGAATGGCAACTTGGAAAAATTTTGGTTACTCCTGACTCACAAGGGTCTGGGGCAAAGAAAGACAATGTGGAGATGGATAGATGGGAAATATTTAATGTGCTTAATAAGCTTTTTGCTGTATTCTAGAGACAGGAATTGGAGTTTGTTGCATCCCCTGAACCTCCTCAACTTGCAGTGATGCCAAGTGAGAAGTGCTAGGGTCAGGACACAAAACGATGCTTCCCAAACTCAGGCAGTGCCTGATGCCCAGGGTGATTTCAGTGTCATCATGTGGGTGGTGTGCCAGTGCCGTGTCTGGGAAGCAGAAATGAGAGAGGGATCCTGTGCCAGCATGTAGGCAAGAGTTTGAGCTGTTTCTGGGTGACAGGCAGCCCCTTCCACGCCTTTGCCTTCAGGAAGTATGGTCTCTGCCACCCCCTTCCTCCTCACTTGTACCCTCAGTCTCCTTCCCAATTGGTGAATTTGTTCTTTGTGCAAATTTTTCCCTTGTGCTTGTGAGTGGCAGGCACTGCTGGTTCGCAGGGGAGCAGGGAATCGAGAGCCACAAGAACCAGACGTGGGCACAGCTCCACTGCATTCACCCCTTCCATTAATGCTTGCAGCTCTTCAGCAGATCAAGCTAACAGCACTTTCCAATTAAAGCATGAATATGGATGTGTTGATTGGAATCTGGGGCATAGGAGCTGATTATCTGATTGAAACTCCAAAGCATTAGCTTGGTTTCCAGACATTAAGGGCTGTATTTGGCTTGGTGTGTGGGTGTGGGTGGGTGGGAGAAGCAAGGCAAAGCAGGGAGGGAACTCTTGTTCTAGCTGAATTGCTCATGCTTGCAACGCTCCTTGTACTGTGTGCTCCAGCAAGCATCCGGGCATGACTGTCACACTGCTGCTGCTTTACCTCGGTGCAGGTGACAGGGAACTGTGTCTACACAAACACATACGCACAGAGGGATCCCAGAGAGAACTGCCAGTGAGTGCTGCAAGTCCTCGACCCTAAAGATGTATTCTCAAAGCTGGGAAGATATGGGCATTCACAACAGTCCATTTGCAAACACCCCCTCCCCAGTCCGTGACTAACATCTCCCTGTGTGAGTCACGCTCAGACTTCCTCAGTACAAAGAGGAACAAGCTGCAGTCCTGGAGCCTCTGTTGCACAACATACTGGGCTGTCCTTGAAGCCCTGTGCCTGTGCAGATGTAGGTGTACACACCTGTGTGCCACAGTGGAGGTTTACAGCCCCTGCTTAGCCATGGCCACAGCTCAGCACGTGTGCACAAGCCTCTTGAGTAGGAGAATATCCAGGCATGTCTTGTGCATGATGCCATGTAAGTACTGTATACACTGATCCTGTAGGTGTATCTAAATACTGAAAATATGCTTGTCCTATACTGCTACAGATTTTCTGGCATGGGCTGTTGGCACAGCCTGTCTGGTACAGAGGCTTTGACAGCTCTGTCTGAAAAGCTCAATGTGAGCAATCTCCAGCTATGCCCCACAACAGTATTTGTATCTTGCACTAGACTGGAAGATAAACTTAGAATTCCTGCCCTATTTGCTTGTCCAGTACAGGATTTCCTTCATTTGTAGCTGCGAATGTTGTTTGCTTCTGTAGCCCTGTTTATATTCTTTACTCAGTGGGCCTTGTTAGCAGCTCAAGGTTTTTGCCCAAAGGCCATGGTGAGAGGCAGAGAGTTGAGGAGAGGCAGCGTGCCATGGTGCTGCAGCAGCATTCACCCGTGCTCAGTCCTTGTGGTTAAGCATCTGGCCCAGCCTGATGGGTTATTTGGAATGGGTGGGAGTGAGACGAGCTTGGTGCATGCAGCTGTCTGGGGGAAGAACTCAGGGAGGTCCCTCCAGCTCCAGCCTGGCACCAGAGAGGTCAGGATGAAGGCAACAGTGCACTTGAGACAAAATTTTGTGTATGGAACGTCAGGGGGAATGGCAGGGGCACTGGGACAGCACTGGCACAAATACATAATTCTGCTGGGCAGACGTCACATCTGAGAATAAGGTGAGTCACAGAAGTGATGCACACTCTCAGTGTACAAAGACTCTTTTCTTACAGGGTAGGAAATCCCAAGGGCACAGGTTTTCCTCAGTTGTTAACCATTTCATACTTTCTTTAGGATTTCATTGGGTACTTTGCCACAACAGGCAAATTCACCATCACCAGGTTGTTGAGTGACACTGTCCAAGGTGTGAGGGGCAGCTCAGGAGTGAAAGGGGATGTGAGAGCCCTTCTCCATCTGTTGCTGCCATGCTACACATTTTCCTTGCAGCATGCAGAGAACATCCATTGTCTGGACCTTATGGGCAGTCCTGTGGCAGGGCTCATCCTGGCCCAGACCCATGGGACAACTCCTTCATTTTCTCTTTTTTTCTAATTTTCATGAAAAAGATGGCTCCAGTAGCAATAACAGTTTGCAGAGCAGTATGTCCTTTCAGCCTTGCTGGGAGGCTCAGTGTGTGTGTTTAAACTGCTTTGATGAAAGCCTTGCATGAAAAATACTCTATGGGAAAAGTAATATTTTTCACTGCTCATATATTCAATTCGGTATCCCTCCTATTAATACACAGTTGACTGCACTTTATCTCTGTCCTGTATTGTTGCACAGTGCTGTAACTGTTTATTTAGTCAGGAGTAAAAGTGCAGAGCAATAATGTCATTTTTAGCCTGCCTCTAATTGCTGGGATTTATTTGCAAATCAAGGGAGATTATAGATGCAAACACTTAGTTTGCCTTTTCATACATGGGGTGGTTTTTTGTCATTTCTTCAGATAATTTTAAAGTTTTGTCCTTGTTGATTACCCAGAACCAAACCCTGATAGGCTTTATCCTATGTTGGAGCACTGTGCCATTGTTTGTGATGTGACAGCTTCACAAAATGAAGCAGTACACAATCATTTCTTCATTTCCTAATTTTTGCAAAGATCTGGGCATGACATTTGCAGTCTGGACCTGCCTTATGTTCTCAACTCCACTGTGCCTGCCCTTGAGATGCCTCACTCTTACAATCTCATTTGCACCCTGCCACATTTGCAGTGAGCTCATCAGAGATGCTCTCCTTGGTGTGAGCAGCCCGTGGCCCTGCTCTGGCACACCTCACATGGCACAAGGACAGCCATGAGGACATAGTCCACGTGGTGAGCTGGGTAAATGCTTTGTCCTGCCCAGGATGTGGGGTGAGTCGTGCCTTGGGCAGACGTTGCCTTCTCCTTCTGTCTGGGCTCCAGTACATTTTTATAGGACACACAGCAGAGCCAGGGTCTGGAGAGAAGGTGCCCTCCAGCCACCCTCTTCTCAGGTGCTGCCAGACAACTACGGAAAGCTGGGACAGCTCCTGACTTGCTGTCACTGAACTCATCCCATGTGTCTGCTCACAGCCCTGACCTTGGCTGGCTGGCTTGATTTACAGAGGAATAAATAGGAAGTGTGGAGGGCAGACCTCGGCTCTTGGCTGATGGAGCCAAATGGGCTTGAGTCACCAATTCAGATCCACAGCTCAACACCCAGAACGCTTGCATGGCTCAGATGCAGGTGTAGTTTTGATTCAGGTCTCTCAAGGGCTTCTGTTGCAGGTCAGAGGCTGGGAAGCGGGTCATTCTTGGACCTGTTGTTAGATGATAATCAGCATCTCAAGGCAGCACATGGTTCTGTGAGCTAAATATTTATTTTATATGTATGAATATAACATGAAAAATCTTTAAAGCACATAAAACCTAGAAAACTTTATCTGTGAGCAGTCAATCTGCTGTTTCTCCCTTCCCTTGAAAGAACACAGAGACAGGAGCAAATGGCAGCAAGGGCAGGTAAACAGATTGTGCTTGGTAACAGGATCTGCTGCTTGGTCAACAGAGGTTTTGTAACTGTGGGCATGTGTGTGTGTTTGTAATGGGGCTGGAATTCAGCATCGTATACAAAGAAATAATTTGTTATGGTCATGACTGTGTGACTTCAGGGCTGTTAACGGGTGTCTCTTCTGTTTGCAGTGTGCATGTACAGAGAGCCATCGCTGCATGAAATTGGAGAAAAACAAGGACGCTCAAGGAAAAGTTCAGGGACACCAACCATGAATGGAGGCAAAGTTGTTAACCAAGACTCGACATAGCTGACAAATACCCTCCCTTCTTCCAACTCCTCCCCTCCCACCCACCTACCCACCCCACCTGGCGAAACCACACTGAGACGATGACAACTGAGCGAGGCAGGACCTACTGGTAGTGGCTTGGAGTGTGAACTCCAGAATCTTTCTTTGTGTAGGACGAGAAAATCGAAACCCAGATCCTGCCTGTTGCAACGTTTTAAAAAACAACAACAACAACAACAAAAAAAAAGTGAAGAAAAAATGTTTTAAATCAGGACTCCATTAACATTTTCAAAAGCAAACTGTTTGCTCTGTGATCAAAGGGGGAAAAATCTCATCTCTGCATAATAATAATAACTAATAAATATAATAATAATAATAATAATAATAAAGATGTTACCTTTAAAAATAAAACAAAGCTTTTGGAAAATTGAACTTAGCATATGATATGCAACAAACACATATAATAATAATAATAATAAAGATGTTACCTTTAAAAATAAAACAAAGCTTTTGGAAAATTGAACTTAGCATATGATATGCAACAAACACATGGGAATTGCATCCTGTGGCTATGCTTTCTGTCTTATCCTTTCACCTCACGTTCACACCACTGTTTTTAACATCCTTGCTTTCCTGGGGATGGATGGGATTTTTCACAAAGCAGGAAAGGTAGGGGTGCATTAAGATTCTGTTTGCTCTGTTATCAGTAAAATATAGCCTGCCCGAATTAGGAGCCTGACAGTTATGGGCAATGAAGTAGCTACTCTTTATTCAGCCTTTTCCATCTACATTCAAATCCTGTGTAGTTATTTGTTGCTAATGTCACTCCGTGAGTATGTTTGACCCAAGTCAGGCATTTTATGCCTTTTTATCATAATTATTTATATTTATAGGTTTGTTTTACTGTATTAGTTGCCAAGGGACTTTCAGAAACGGGTTTTCAGGTCTCACAGGATGAAGCGATCATATTTATTAGGTAGAGTTAGGAGAGGAGGGATAGGGCAGAGTTAGGGCAGGAGGGATAGCTGCTTGCTTTAAAATACGAAACAGATCAAGAAATGCTGCTGAAATCCTTGCTGTCAGTAGGAAGTGGTAAGACGTGCTGTATGAGAGGGTAACAGGATTTCAGCAATGGAAACAAAGATGTGGGGATGGGGTGTGCCTAGGAGGGAGCAGGTGTAGGGGAACATGGGTGGTTGTGCCTGTCCAGTTGTACCAGGGTGAGAACATTTCCTTCTAATAGCATTCCCTAAATGTTCTGGCTCCATACATACCACACATGTTCAAAGCAGAGGCTGCAAACCCCTACAGTCCCCAGCCTTCCCACTGGGGTGGTCTGAGGCCCCTGAGATGCTGCAGCAGCCTGGATACGGCTGTGGGCATGAGTCTTGCCAGTGCCAGGGCTGCAGATGCTGGAACAACCCTTCAGAATTAACAAATTCCCAAAGGGGAAAGGCCAGGAGGGGGCCAGTGGGGATGCCCAGTGCTGAGCCCACATGCAGAAACCAGGGCTTTAGAGGGGACTGTGAAGGCTGTCCCTGATGCTTTCTCTCCTTGTGAGTTGGGGTGAGCAGTGAACCCTTGCTGCTGGTGGGACTGCAGCAGGGCTGTGGGGGCTGTGCCCCATCACAGATCACACACAAACTCCAGTCTCTGTCTGCTTTTGGCAGGCACAGTGATGACACGAGCAGCAGCGGTGATGGAGCTGCTGTGACAAAAACAGCCACTGCCCTGGATGAGGGGCCTGCTGCTCCACCATGGGCACAGGTCCTGCGAGGGGTGAGAACAAAAGGGAAAAGCAATCGCCCAAGGGACTGGAGAGGGGCACCAGCCTAAAGCCTTGCAGTTACAGGCTGGGGCTCATAGCAGGCACCTGTGAATTCCAAATACTCCAAATAATTGTGGAGGCTCCTGTGCCATCCCAGCCAAGGCCTCAGCTGGCTGGCAGCCACACGGGCAGAGCTGCTGCTGGGAGTGCCAGGGCTGTGCCAGGGCTGGCTATGATGCTCCTGCAAAGCCACTTCTGCCCCAGTGCCTCCCTCCCCAACACAAGGCAGGGCTGGGAAGCACAGAGAGCCAAATCTCAAGGTTATGGAAGACTCCCAGGATCAGCGTGAAGGAATGAATTCCAAGCATGTCTTTTTGTGCTTTGGAAAAGCTGAAACCTTGAAATAAAGAGCCTCTTGGCATGTCTCTGCTGCCCAGTGCTGCACCTACAGCAGGCAGCCCCCTGTGCTACACATCATGTCAGAGTGACTTACTGCTGCCCTCCAGCCCCACAACTCTGGAACAAAGTCACTAACACACGTTCAGCTTGGGAACACACACCCAGCGCCATCTGATGTCATTCACATTTCAGCTCCCTCACAAACTAGAGAGCACCCCAAATTAAAGGATCACTAGAGACACGTATACTCAATGAAATGGAGTCTCAAGGCCAATAAGTTGAGCTATCAGGTTCCTGAACTATCCAGGTCACCAAACACCAGACCATGGTTTAGGCACTGAGCCATGGTTTTTCCACATGCCCTAGTGGAGGGAAAGCCCAGCACCTAGCACAAAACAGAATACACCCAGCACACCTTGATACCACAAACCTCTTCTGGACCCAGCCATGGGCAGCTTGCCAAGGGCATTGATGTCATCTAGAGCAGCTCCAGCATGAGAGACTAAAAATTGCTGTGCCTTATGTGCAGAATACCCTTTGCCTAAGCCCCAAAAGCTGTGGGCAACAACAGACTCAGTCCTACCATGTGCTAATTTTTGCATTGTGGAACTCATTTGCCACTTTCCCCACGGGGATTTTGCCTTCTTAATAGTCTTGGGCCAAATCATTACGAGAATCCTGGAAATGCCATATTCAGGCCCAAATGTCAAAATATCCTGCTCGTTTGTTCCATGGTGTTTGAGCTAATCACTTTCATGTGGCACTCCCTGAGTTTGCCCACAGTGAGAGCCAATTGCTCCTGCTCTCATCCAGTGTCTGCACAACCTCGGAGCAGGTCTTATGCCATGTGTTGAAATCAAGTGCTGGCTCTCCTTGCTCCCTCCTTAACCATGAGCCACATACAATGGCACAAACCATGATAAAAACCCTGAGGAAATGCTGGGTTTTCCTGACCACTAGGAAGCTGCGAAAGTCAGCTCGTGGTGTAATGCAGGGACTGCTGACATCATGACAGCTCAAAAACCAGTGAGGCTGCACAGCCCAGCTGCACAGTGTCCACCTGCACCAGCTGCTGACTGGGAGCTGCTTGGCTCCAGATGCCCCAACGCCCTCCAGATGCCTGGGAAAATCCAGGGGATCCACAGCTTGTAGATACCATGCAGAACTTCATGCTTTTTTTTTTTTTACACAAGTGCCTTGTAAGCTCTGTCCCCAGGCCTTATCTCAAGGAGGTGATGTGGGTTTTGTTGATTATCCATCTGCTGTTGCTTCCCAATTTTCAGGGAAAAAGGGAATCCACAGAGAGATTTTTCCTTACTTTGAAGTTCCAATGAAGTCTCTTCATTGCTTCTCACTCTTCTTTCTTGGTGTTGAAGAATTGATGAGTGGTATTTCTTTTTTTCTTTCTTTAGCCACACTTATAGCAACCATTTAGGAAGGTTTATCACTCAGTTTAACGTTATAGTGACCACAACCCTTGTCTGGCTGCACGTGATACTAGCAGGACAAATTTCCTTGCTATGATGGCATGGTGTTTGGGCAAGCATCTAGCACAGAAAAGTAAATGATAAAAAAGAAGGATGTTTTCATCCAACCTGGCCCATAGCTACTGTTAATTCTGGTAAGACTGCAGCAAACCTTTGGTCTCCAAGAACAGATGCTGCTATAAAAGATTTTGAGATATATTTAGAAGTCCAACAGTAGAAAATACATCACAGAAATATAAGTGCATTTAAAGCATTCATTTTGTTTCACCCCGTTTTTAATTGTGATGTTGTCATGGTTCTGGCTGTACGTGCTGTGCAAAACATCCCCTCTCACCTATGCATCAAGGACAAAACCTGATAAAATGGCTCCAGTTTGGACCATAAGGATTTTCCTAGGAAGAAAATGCAGAAAAAGCTACAGACAAGTATGCCATACTGCGCCAGCAAGTTCTGCCACAAGTGTCAGCACTGGCATGTGACAATGTGCTGTAAAGTGAAGCTGACACTCAACAAAGCAATTTATGAAAGTTGTCTGTCAACAACATTTTTGTGTTTGTGCTCAGAGAGGTTCTGGCTGATAAAGGCCCACGCAATCCCTCAAGCTGTCACGGGCTTCACTTTACACCTTTATATCTCAAACTGCACTGACTGCACCAGGAGAGTTCCTGCCCCAGAAAGGTACCATTGCCACACCCTGAGCAATGCTGAAAAGGAGATGTGTAGGCACCCAAGGCTGAGCAGAGCTAGCAGGAAACAAAGTGTGCTATCCTTCTTGGTTCCATGCCAGCAAGACTGCAGCCTGGATGCATGACAGGCATGAAAAAACATCTTCATGAGGATGACACTTCCTAAAACAAAGAAGGCATAGAATTCTCATTAGTTAAAGTACACAAACCCAACCTTTACTAATGGGCATGCACTAAAATACACTGCTTTTAACATGGGGCCCAAAATATGTCCAGCACTAAAACTCTATTAATTTGGGCATAGTGTAGCCCTGGTCCTAGATGGCAAGGATCAGTTTGTGTGTCACTGCATCAAAGAAATTAAAAACAAGAAAAGACACAAGTGAGTGTCTTTTGTGATTTCTCTCCCAAAACTGAAACAAAATGTTTAGTTGCTGCTGTGGGATGACCCACTGCACATACCTAGAAGTAAAACCAAAAGAAACAGAACAGCACTTCCTTAGTGAAGCATAGATGTTTCCATGGCATTCACATTTTCCCTCTCCCACCACCAATGCTTCAGCCTTGAAGGCAATGGAAGGCTGTTTCCATGGAGCAGAAGGCATTAAGGCTCACATCCTCCCCACCTGCACGGAGTTAAGCTTGACTTCTCTGCTTCAGCTGCTGAGATACAGTCATGGGTATCCTTCAATTTCCCCATGTTCTTCTTACACTACTTCATTATGGGCAAAAGACCCCCCCCCCAAAAAATCCCATAGCCAGGCTGATACAGTTTTAGCACCATGTTTAAGAGCATGAACATCTCAAAACTGCTAATACATTTGTGGCCATGAAGTTAAAGCTTAATAACTCCCATTTCAGGACAGAGAATTTATATTCATGATAGTTGCATAATGAACTGCTGCATGCACAGAAAGCTGGACATCTTCCCAGCCTGC